TCAAAACTTTTTTTCAGCGTTTCGCTGATGTTGCTGAGGTGAAGGAAAAACCGACGGAGGCGCTGTCAAGCATCTCAAAAGATGAATTTAGACAATGTTTTGAAAAATGGAATAAAAGACTAGACAAGTGTATTAGTGTAAGTGGAGAGTACTTTGAAGAGGATTGAAGGTTTATGCTTAAAATTTGAATAAATAAGTTTAAAAAAAAAATAAGTTCGGTTTCTTTTGGGTACCCCCTCGTACATATTGTAGCGTGCACAGCTGCTGCTATGCAATGGATAAACAACGTTGTTATGCAACCCGTTTCTAGGCAACTGATCGGTAAGCAAGTTCCCGTGGCAAAGAATATACACTCAACAACAGTTGAAGTATGTTTTCTACGTGGTCCGGTGCCGAGAAGTTATAACCAGGGCAGTTTGAACAATGAGGCAGTTGAGTTCGGCAAGGGAGGCTGAGGAGAGATGGCGCTACAGTTCAGTTGTGGGACATTCGCCGGAAAGTGACGATTTGCGCGCAGAAGACACTGCAGGCGGGAGAGGTCTTAGCGTGTAGTGGTTTGCATAGTGTGGCGATCAGGGATAGCGTTTTTAAGTGCTTGTAATTCCGAGCTGTGTATATAAATTGCCAAAACATCCATTCACCAATAAATAGCACGTCGATACTCACACACCCTAAGTACGTTACAATTTTTATATACATGCATAATACATAACAGTGTATGGGTGGTGTGTATTTGAACTAGCTGGGGACATAACATGACACTCTCGACCAGTATCTAAACAGAGAGTTTCGTGATCAACATTTTGGAACCCAAGCATCACCTAAGCCGGAAGGGTACTTACATACTACAGCTCTCTCGTGAGAGATGAAAGATCCATACATAATTTTGGCTACAAAACCTGAGGGAAAGAGGCCACTAGAGATCTAAGAGAAAATGTACAAGTGCTGTATCAAGATGAGGAGTGGATTAAAGTGGCTCAGAAAAGAGATCAGTGGCGGGCTACTGGTTCAGTTTCAAGCCAAGCCGAGCCGTATATGTAAACACATTAAACTCAGTAACGCGTACAGTGCGATACACAAGTCATTAATTTCTAAAAACCATAATCAGTCCAAGACAAGAAATAGGTATCAGTAATTCTACACGACCATATTACACGAAGGCAGGTACACAGTACGACCCGCCAACGATTCCACTAAAGACGAGCTAGAAGTAATAAGGTAAAAGTTCCCCATGTGCTTAACTAATTAGCCACTACCCCATGAAGGCGTACGTAACAGTGGATCTATTTTTTTTATTGGCGCTACAGCCCTCATTTGGACCTAGGCCTACCTCCATGAAACTCTCCGTTTCACTTCGGTTTCACTAGATCTTAAGACATATGGTAGGTCTCCTTGGGTGGGTGATCAGCTCGTCGCAAGGCCTCTACCTGTATACAAACACAGAAAAACGCACACAAACATCTATGCTGAGTGGGATTCGAACCCACAATCCCGATTTCCGAGCGGGCGAAGACAGTACATGCCTTAGACCGCTCGGCTACCGTGACCGGCACAGTGGATGTATATACCCACGTTTTCTTGACCTCGGCTCTAGATGGAGGTGAGTGGTCAGCATCAAGCCCCGGCCGCTTTAGTCCCGGAGAAAGAGCCCCCGGTACCCATTATATAGTGGGTTGGGTGGGCCCCAGAGCCGGTCTGGACAAGTTGGAGAGGAGAAAATTCTTGACCCTACCAGGACTCGAGCTCCGACCCCTTAGTCGTCCAGTCCGTAGCCAGTCGCTATACCGACTGCGCTATCACGGCTGTACAGGGACATTTATCATTGTGAAACTGTACTTCGCTAAGTTTCTCTTTTAACACAGGAGAATGTCTGTACATTACCACTTAGTAAAAAAAAAACAAACAAACAAACGCAACTGGAAGGAATGTACGAACGTGATTTGGCAATTTCGCGCGCGCAGTTGACTGTAAACGACACTTCGGTTCAACAGCATTCGTGATGAACGTAATACCAAGTATGTTACTGTCATTCACTGTGTTAGTTTAAAGATACTGGCATGTCCTTTTATCGATACAGTGCAAGAGAGAAAGAGACAGAGAGGGGGAAAGGAAAGTTGTTAATAAAACTTGTAAATTTCAAAGTGGGTGAAGAATGCCGTCTTCTGGGATGTGGCGGCGTGCAGATCTTGTGTGCCGCCACCTGCTAACGCTGGTTCCTCGCTCGCGGATTTTCTACCCTGAAAACTGTGGTGAAACGTCCTCCGAAACGTCAGTTTACACAAGATCTACACGGCACCACATCCCAGAAGACTGCTTTCCTCAGAAAAAAAAAAAAAGTTTTAAAATGAAAGCCGTTAGTTATAAACGGATTTCTAAAGTAAATAATACCAGCATAGACATAAGCGACACAATATAACTTGCTTTATGCCTTCACAGACTCAACACGGTGGTCAAAACTGAACTGACTTAACGCCACTGAAAGGGATACGTGTAGATTTAAACGCAGTTAAGTGGACACTGCCGGTCACGGTAGCCGAGCGGTCTAAGGCATGTACTGTCTTCGCTCGCTTGGAAACCGGGATCGTGGGTTCGAATCCCACTCAGGGCATGGATATGTAGTTTGTGTGTGCGTTTCTGTTTGTGTACAGGTAAAGGCCTTGCGACGACCAAGGAGGCCTACCGAATGCGTAAGATCTAGAAAAACCGAAAGTGAACGGAGAAGTTCATGGAGGTAGGCCTACGCCCACTGGGGCTGTATTGCCAGGAGGGGGGGGAAGTGAACACTGCGAAGTCTGCAAACCCTACCACACAACTACTGGTGGTAGATGCGCCACTACGGCCGGCAGAACAAATCGCGAGCCTTCGCTTACAACAAACGGACAACGCACTACAATTTCATGATACACACCAACAGAATGCGCATAAAATCCCCCAACAGTACGATTAATGATCTTCCAGTGGTATCAAAACTCGCTATTTCATTGGGTCAAAAGCCACGGATGACTGCTATTTTAAAGACTACTTGAGCGATAATGAATTTGAGTGCGGATATGTTATCTGCTGTAGCGAAATTCTATAGGGTAAAGGTAGGATGCGCCGGTCACGGTAGCCGAGCGGTCTAAGGCATGCACTGTCTTCGCTCGCTTGGAAACCGGGATCGTGGGTTCGAATCCCACTCAGAGCATGGATGTTTCGTTTGTGTGTTTGCGTTTTTCTGTGTTTGTGTATAGGTAGAGGCCTTGCGACGAGCTGATCACCCGCCCAAGGAGTCCTACCGTATGTGTAAGATCTAGAAAAACCGAGCTAGGCCCACTGGGGCTGTAGTGCCAAGGAAAAAAAAGGTAGGATGCTTTAAACGCGTGCATGATCTGACGTCAGAAGTTGAATTATTTCTTGATAAGAGGGAAACTTTTCCTTGGCTTTGATATCGCGACTGAACGAGTACTTTGCGTTTTATGCTGATGTCACTCAACTCATTAATGAAGTCAATATCAACTTATAAAGAGCACATCACAATTTAAATGAAATGCCTAACAAAACACGGCAACGTTCGACAGGAAACTTCGACTTCTATCAAATACTAAACAAAAAAAAAACTCCGTGGTTTTAGCCCGCAATTAACGACCAGGCGACACCCTCTATCCGCTAAAGCTGGCACTAATTTCGCCGACAAGCGGCGGGCGGTCGGTCGGTCTATCAAATACTATGCACGGAAAAGACCATTCGTGCTAAAAAGAATATGAGGAAGAACTTCCGATTTTTCAACAAGAATTCAACTGCCGTTTTCAAGATAATACGCATGTATGAGGCCACATTCAACTTCTTTTCAGTGATCTTTGATGTTAGTGTTGATTTTTAAATGGTGGTAATGGATTTGCATTACGAGCAGGTGTGTGTTTCCAAACTGTTAACAATGGGCTCGCGCTAGCCCCACCCCCAAAGACCCCGCCATCACATCGCTGGTCCTGAGAAATACACCAAATAATTGACTTTTGACTTTTACAAACTCTTGTTTACTTGCTGACAAGCTTTCCACTGGTTAGCACCCACACACAGTCAATAATATGACTTTTTGGAAGCACACATGTGTGTCAACAGCTCATTAAAAAAAAACGAAAGTGGTCGAGAGCAATTCTAGAAACCGACTCGACGATGGAAGATTGGAAAGCTGCCTCCGAGTTGCCACTTGTCACGTCCGGATGTTGGCAACCACTGGAGAGAAGAAAAAAAAACTGGTATGCCGGACGGGACCTTCCACCCTTTCTACGTCTAAAAATTCTATATAATATTCTAGGTCTTCCTAATTATATTTAGCATTGCATTAATTCCAAAAATTGTCACCAGGTTAATATATTTATATATTTTTATAATGACTTCCATTTTTGTTACTTGGCTTGCGGCCCACGGCAGGATTTTACGATTTTTAATTTGGCTGGTGTGCAGAAACGGCAGCTCAACAGTACCGTACGCTTTTGAAAGTAATCCGTTGACAGTCAACTGTTACTTGGTCGGGAGTTACATGACCTACAGGCAAATTATACTCGTAATATGTACGGGGAGGCATATTATTTTCAGATACATTGCTTGATTAACACACTGAGAAACACAGTGTGATTGCATTAAGCATAAATACTGAAAGTGTGTTACGTATATGCGACTACGCGCCAAAAGAAATCCTACCGCCCGTAGCTCATTTCATCACACAAAACGTCTTGATTGTTTCCGTCAGTAGTTACAAATCCAGCACCTGGTACTGTTTGTTTTGTCACCAATTACAAATATGTTTATCTAGTGTATACTCAACCAATCTAGCATCATACAGAAATTGTCGCGAAGCACATATCTACTGCATTAGAATTCATTTATTTGTAAACTGTCATCAAGAAGAAATGGAAATTCCTACAGAGATTAAGTAAGATCCCTTTTCAAGTGTACGTCATAACATCACAACATTTATAACAGTTACACACTAAAACAAAAGAATACGAAACCAAACTTACACTGTGGCAGATAATCCTGTGGCCAAGCTGAGTGATTAATACTTCTCACATCAAACGCCACTCGGAAATACACTACTACTGTCACTACCAAAACTTAACCTAATAAACCACTGGACACCATATTTCTCACTGCAAACAACAAAACTCTACTGCAACCGGACGTATGGTAAGTGATGAGAGCTACACTTTCTGTAAAACTCAAGACTCCACACAGATACCACTTCTACCGTTCTAAGAGAGACTAACGAGCAAACTGGGACAGAGAAAAGCCAGAGTAGTCATGTGAGGGGAAGTGCTACACATAGTGGAAGGGGGACCGACCAGAGAGACAAAGAGGGGAAGCCAATGGTAGGGAGGGATAGAGGTTGTGGGGGGACTATACGGTGTTTATAAAATGTAAAATTCAACCTGCGTAACTAGCAATAATCTTGCGCGAGGGCTGTTCGGAAAGTAACTTCTGCTTATTTTAGGCAACTAATGTAGGATCGGGCCGGTCACGGTAGCCGAGCGGTCTAAGGCATGTACTGTTTCGCTCGTTTAGAAACCGGGATCGTGGGTTTGAATCCCACTCAGGGCATGGATGTTTAGTTTGTGTGTGTGCGTTTTTCTGTGTTTGTGTACAGGTAGAGGCCTTGCGACGAGCTGATCACCCGCCCAAGGAGCCCTAGCGAATGTGTAAGATCGAGAAAAACCGAAGTGAACAGAGCAGTTCATGGAGGTGGGCCTATGTCCACTGGGGCTGTAGTGCCAAGGAAAAAAAATGTAGGAGCGGGGGAGACCCCGCTATACAAAGTGAGTTATGGTATGTCTTGCGATTAATAATCCCGCCAGCTGAGAAATTTGAGCAGTTATCCGATTTCCTCGCGCTAAAAACATGAGAGCTACGGATATTAACCGTCAATTATGCGCGGAGGTTTACGGCCAAAATGTAATGAGTGAAGGAACTCTTAAGACAATGGTGTACAGTGTTCACAGAAGGGCGAACGAATGTTCAGGATGAAGAGCGAAGTTGTCGACCATCTGTAGTACGAGTAAATGACGATTTTGTTCAAGGTGTTCAGCAAATATTTGTCAAAGACGGTGCTTCACAATTTCATAACTTTTCGTGAGAGAAAACTGCATAACGAGGAGCTTAATTACGTGTACACTTACTAAATATTTTTTTTTTCTCTCTCTCTCTCTCTCTCTTCTTTTTACTTTGGAGCACAGGGCTGATTTCTCAGTTTCATGAACGTTTTACAGACGGTAGGTCTCATTGGACGGGTGATCAGCCCGTCGCAAGACCTCTACTAAACACAGGACAACACAAACACAGAATAAACGCATACACATACCAAACATCCATGCCTTAAGTGGGATTCGAACCCACGATCCCGGCTACCGGGCAAGCGAAGACAGTACATGCCTTAGACCTCTCAGCTACCGTGGCCGGCATTCATTAAATATAAAATGATTAAATCACAAAGGATGAGATGGGAGGGCATAGTGTACGCGTGGATGAGATGAGAAATGCATACACAATTTTACAAGTAATAAAAGTGTGTTACGTATACATAAATACATAAAAGGTAAAAGAAAAAGGCGAGAACGTAAGGAGTAGTGGAAATATAGAGCCACATTTCTTAACCGCATGTGGAGGCGAATGGTCAGATGCCATTCATGCCCCGGGGGCTTCAGTCCTGGGAAAAGAGCCCACAGTAACCTTTGGAAAGGAGGTTGGGTGGGCCCAAGAGGCTGCCTAGACGCTGTCCCTGTCCCTGCCGAGAATCGTACACCGGTCGTCCAGCCCGTAGCCCTTGCTACACCAACTGAGCTGTCCTGTCTCACATACATACGTCACTACGTTCCAAACGTAGTTATGTATACAACTAAGCGTCTCCTAGCAAGATGGAGGCATATTAAAGTAAAGTAAGTAAGTAAAGGTATCCCTGTAACATGCAGTGGAGTCCCATAGGGTTGTGAGAGGTTGAGGCTCCCACATTTTCTAGACAATGGGCTCAGAGATGGCGGTCAGGTTGTCAGCCTTACGCTCCGGCCGCCCGTTACCCCCAGGACCATAGTGCGGCTGGAAGGATTAGGTAAATTGAAAAGGAGGAACAAAGACACGATGAGGAGGCGCGCAGCGGCTTGGAATACAGGCTTTACGAACCTCGGGATCCACAGAAGCCGAGAACTTTGGTTGATGGCAGAGCAGCTACTGGCTTCTAAAGAAAGACTCTACCCCATGAACTTACCTAGCTCGTCCTGCCATCTTAGTGCTTACTACAGATCACTGAGACTCTATGGCGGAAGAGTCGGACGCTCTTCGCGTCAAGTCGGGTCCTAGGGACTGCGGAAGCGATGCATTTATAGGCTAATTCAGTGCAGCCATAAATTACTCATATTACAGCACACGCTGTACATGCATGTCATGGTTGCTATTACGAGAATGTTGAAGCTTAATACCGATTTCATAGTTACTGGGCATAAATAGAAGTCGAACTTAAACGCTGGTTTCTCAGTGATTACAAATTCGAAGAAATGTGTGTGAAACTGTAATGAACTTCTAGGAATTCATTCAGGTGCCTTTCACATAAGAACATTATTTCAAGCTTCGCGTTCGAAGTTTACTCCACTTCCACGAAAGGGCTTCAGTGCATGAATGTAGACTTTTTACTAAGGTTCTACAGAAGGGCCGCGCCATAGCTCAAGCGGTTAGTCGATGGCTTCCCACCGCGGCGGTCCGGGTTCGATCCCGGGTCTGGTCAAGTGGGATTTGTGGTGGACAAAGTGGCGCTGGGGCAGGTTTTCTCCGAGTACTTCGGTTTCCCTTGCCAATCTTCATTCCACCAATTGCTCCACAATCACCCACACCTATCATCTGGGGCTGGTAGAACAGGCCAGAAGTGGCCGCAGTACAAGGGATCTAATCCCACCCCACTATCAATAAAAAAAAGGTTCCACGGAGAGAACTTCTAGCCTATGGTGAAACTGACCAAATTCTACTAGTGCTTGAGTAGGCTGTAGGTCTCTGGTTGACTAGGAGTCTCCACAGCACAACTTGACGGGAGATCCATTAGAATATTCCGCCTATAGGGCTAAAAGATTTGCGGGAAGCTCTGAAATGATCATCCTATATTATTCGACCACATTTACTTTTTAGCAGGTCTGGGGAACTACTGGCGCTGGTGATCCGACAGCTAACAGCAAGGAAGTACTGGTGTTGGAGATGCGACAGCTGACTGCAGGGAAGTACTGGTGTTGGAGATGCGACAGCTGACTGCAGGGAAGTACTGGTGTTGGAGATGCGACAGCTGACTGCAGGGAAGTACTGGTGTTGGAGATGCGACAGCTGACTGCAGGGAAGTACTGGTGTTGGAGATGCGACAGCTGACTGCAGGGAAGTACTGGTGTTGGAGATGCGACAGCTGACTGCAGGGAAGTACTGGTGTTGGAGATGCGACAGCTGACTGCAGGGAAGTACTGGTGTTGGAGATGCGACAGCTGACTGCAGGGAAGTACTGGTGTTGGAGATGCGACAGCTGACTGCAGGGAAGTACTGGTGTTGGAGATGCGACAGCTGACTGCAGGGAAGTACTGGTGTTGGAGATGCGACAGCTGACTGCAGGGAAGTACTGGTGTTGGAGATGCGACAGCTGACTGCAGGGAAGTACTGGTGTTGGAGATGCGACAGCTGACTGCAGGGAAGTACTGGTGTTGGAGATGCGACAGCTGACTGCAGGGAAGTACTGGTGTTGGAGATGCGACAGCTGACTGCAGGGAAGTACTGGTGTTGGAGATGCGACAGCTGACTGCAGGGAAGTACTGGTGTTGGAGATGCGACAGCTGACTGCAGGGAAGTACTGGTGTTGGAGATGCGACAGCTGACTGCAGGGAAGTACTGGTGTTGGAGATGCGACAGCTGACTGCAGGGAAGTACTGGTGTTGGAGATGCGACAGCTGACTGCAGGGAAGTACTGGTGTTGGAGATGCGACAGCTGACTGCAGGGAAGTACTGGTGTTGGAGATGCGACAGCTGACTGCAGGGAAGTACTGGTGTTGGAGATGCGACAGCTGACTGCAGGGAAGTACTGGTGTTGGAGATGCGACAGCTGACTGCAGGGAAGTACTGGTGTTGGAGATGCGACAGCTGACTGCAGGGAAGTACTGGTATTGGAGATGCGACAGCTGACTGCAGGGAATTACTGGTGTTGTAGATGCGACAGCTGACTACAGGGAAGTACTGGTGTTGGAGATGCGACAGCTGACTGCAGGGAAGTACTGGTGTTGGAGATGCGACAGCTGCCCCTCCTCTCGCAAGAAAATCTTCACTTACTTTCTGTATTTCCTGCATTAATGTTAATGTAGTCGGCAATGACTTCTTTCTTTAAATCAAATTTAATAACAGTGTTTTTTAATGCTAGTGGGGTGGGACTAAGTCCCTTGTAATGCGGCCCCTTCTGACCTATTGTACCAGCCCCAAATGATAGGTGAGAGTGATTGTGGAGCAACTGGTGGAATAAATATTGGCAGGGGAAACCGAAGTACTCGGAGAAAACCTGCCCCAGCGCCACTTTGTGCACCACAAATCCCACTTGACCAGATCCGGGATCGAACCCGAGCCGCCGCGGTGGGAAGCCAGTGACTAACCGCTTGAGCTATGGCGCCGTACCGAGTGGACCCAGCTGGACTCCAATTCCCACTAAGCGAATTAAAAAAAAACATGCAACAGGCCTTGGAGGCATATAGAGTTGTGAGACATCGAGGCTCCTACACTTTCTAGACAATCGGTTCACAGATGGCAGTGATATCGGCAAAAAATATTTTGTCACGTACCTTACCGCCATCTTTGAGCCAATTGTCTAGATAATGTGGGACCCTTAACGTCTCACAACCCTATGGGCCGTTACACGGATAGCTTTACTTACTTACTTTTACTTGGTGACTAGGCACTGGATTGGGAATGGTATTTGGATCTACTGGACTCTTACAACTCGTAACTATGGGTAAATGTAACAGTAATCTCTACAAATTTACCGTACTGCGACACACATGAAGCCCTCTCAGTCTTCAACAGCCGTATCTTAATAGTGGCTTCCAACACGGACGTTCCCTTTCCTCTGGTTTCCCGAACAGCCCCTGTCCGCAGCTACCAGCTTCCCATTTCTCACAACTGCAACTCTCAACTGACTCAACCAAGTCGAAGTCAAAGTTATGTTACTACCGATGGTCAGTCGGCCAGTCTGTCTTGGTGTCAAGCACTTATCTGGGGCCTAAAATCAATTTCTTTGTTGCTGTGAGTCACTTGCAGGTTTGTTACATAAGGAGGACACCGGGCGAGCTGCAGTTTCATGTAAATTATTTCGGTGTAATCTTCGATACGTGGATTACGTGGAGACTGCACGTGGAAATGATTGAAGCCAAGGCCTTCAGAACATTTATTAGAATCTACTCCCTATTCAAAAGTGAGCGATTAAGCGCCAACATTAAACTAACACTCTATAAGACACTGATCAGATAAGTAATGACCTACGGTTGTCCCGTCTGGGAATGAGCGGCAGCGCCTACAAAACAAGGTCCTGCGCACCGTTGGAAATTTTTCAAGGTGCACACGGGTCCGCGATTTGCACACGGCATTCAGCGTTCCGTATGTGTATGATTATATAACAAAATTGTGAAGGCAACAAGCAGAAGTCATACAAAATCATAGGAATGAAGTTGATTAAGGTGAAGCCAGGCACAGAAAATACAAGAGGCTTAAACTTGACGGTGGTAAAACGTATGACCTTTCAAGTGACTAAGCTGATATTGTAGCATAAGATAAGTAAGATAGGCATGAGCTTCTCTGCAAAGCCTGTACTGACAGAGGACTNAACGTCGGTTAACACCACATATACACGGTGCAAAATCCCAGACGACTGCTTTCTTCAACATGCTATATGTGCGAAATATACACTTGATGCACTTGACGAAAGGCCAAGCATATTCATAAGTGACAAACCCATCTTCTCGTCAGAGAGCATGTTACATAAGGACTATTACCGCAAGAGTTCATTTGAATGAAGAATCTCTGGTCGTGAGTCTAAAGGGGCTTGGCGCCAAGACGAACCGATTGCCGGTAAACCGCCAGTCGTAAAGTAATTTTGACTTTGAGCTGCAGTTAGTCGGTCTCTGAAAAGAAGACTAGGAGGTTGGTGTAAGATGGGCGCCAGCCTGGGAATTAGTCAATTGAAGCAATGGGTCAGTTGTGAGACGGCAGCCAATGGCGTGCGCACAGGAGCTGAAAAATCTTCAGTGTTAGTGCTAGAAGCCGTTACCAGGAAACGATTAGGTGAGACTGTAACATACTGTGAACACTAGTGTGTGTGTGTGTGTGTGTGTGTGTGTGGAACAGTGAACTGTAAATTGTAGTCACGAGTCTTGTGTTAAAGTGGTCAATAAATCCGATCATCAATCCAAAACCGGTCTGTAGTCCACTCCGTCACGTGACAATGTACATTTGTTTGTCATGACATAGGCCTAATGGTTTGCATGACTGTTTCACTGTTTTGTTTTTTGTTTGTTTTTATGTGTTTTGTTTCTTTTTTCTTTGCTCATGCTTACTTCATAATTGGCCTCTGGGCTGTTAAGTACGCACGTAAATAAATGAGGAACTGAATTATTACTGTAAACCCCACAATGACATGCTGATTTCAGACTCTGTTTGAATGTAGTAGGTGTCCTGTATTAGAGAGAATTATTCACAGAAATGGACCAGTTCTATAATTATTAGCTAGCTTCACAGCATGGATGGAAGCATTGGAAAGAAAGTAGACGTTACAAGGTCTAAGAGTTGCTTCTTACGCTTTCGATAAAGATTCTGATAAATTGCTGATATATTTAATCAAAACTCTTAACAACTGGGCAATTATTAACTAAAAAATTACTTTCCCGATCGGCTTCGATAGTTAGTAGTGAACGCCTCACCATTTTGACTCATTTTAAAAGTGTAACTTTGAAAATACGCGTAATTTTCTTAAAGAGAATAAACCAAATTCTCCAATCTTAAAAGGCAAAAAGGTAAAGCTATCCCTCTAACAGGTCGTGAAGCCCTACAGGGTTGTGAGACGTCGAGGCTACCACATTTCCTACAAAATCGGCTCACAGATGGTGGTGAGGTTGTCAGCTCTATGCGTCGACCGCCCTTTACCCCCCAGGAAGATTCCTGGTACTCACTTCTCTTAGAGGCTGAATCGAACCCAGGGCTATAGTGCGACTGGAAGGATTAGGTAAACTGAAAAATCCAACTCATCTGGAATGGAACCCGCGACCTTCCGGCTTATAGCATAGTGCCTCAACCAACTACGCTACCGCGTGCCCCCAATCCTCAAACCTTAGTAACAAATATTTACGAAGTCTGCATATATCTTCGTTTATAAACTGAGAGAAACCAATCGAGATCTTCAAATAAAGAACGGGTCATAGGCAATAAAAGTGGAGCAGACGAGAGCAGTTCAAACTATCAAAAGGATAAGTATAACTCTCCACCAGAATTCAGCTTAAGTTCCATCATTTGTTATATAATCTTTCAGGTTATAGGTCCCTCTTCTTTCTCCCGTATTCCTTCCAGTCCTACATGTTATCGAATGATATGTCAAGGTCAGCATTTAACCCCATACATCATGAATAACACACACAAATTGTCGTAAACTGCCTCCTTTACATTTTTTTTCCCCTTGGCACTACAGCCCCAGTGGGCCTAGGCCTACCTCCATGAACTTCTCCGTTTACTTCGGTTTTTCTAGATCTTACACATTCGGTAGGACTCATTGGGCGCGTGATCAGCTCGTCGCAAGGCCTCTACCTGTACACAAACACAGAAAAACGCACACACACAAACTAAACATCCATGCCCTGAGTGGGATTCGAACCCACGATCCCGGTTTCCAAGCGTGCGAAGACAGTACATGCCTTAGACCGCTCGGCTACCGTGACCGGCGCCTGCTTTACATAGTGTACAAAAATCCGAATATCTACATCAAAACATTGGGAGCAAGCGATAGCGTAGTTGGTCAAGGCATTATGCTACAAGCCGGAAGGTCGCGGGTGTCATTCCCGATGAAGTTATTCCATATTTTCAATTGACCTAATCCTTCCAGCCCCATTATGGCCCTGGGGTTGACTCAGCCTCTAACAGAAATGAGTATCAGGAATCTTCCTGGGGATAGAGGACGGCCGGCGCGTAAGGTTCACAACCTTACCGCCATAATGTGGGAGCCTCGACATCTCGCAACCCTATGTGCCTTCACGGCATATTACAGTGATAACATCACTTTTTATCGTGTGACAATATTGGGTAGCACAGACTACACACTATGCACTGAAATAAAAAGACTGCGTCCTCGTTCGTGACCTGTTACATTCATTCACACGCGTTGATGCTCAACAATCGGCTGCTATAATTAACTGAAATTGCGTAATAACAATGGTAAATTTCAAGCATACAAGCCTTTTTTTACTGGAGCAAGGACAAATCGAAAATGTATATCGCCGCTTTCTGAAACTCGTGTAATTTGTTAACGAGGCTGTAAGAAGACAAACGTTTAAAGTGCAGAGAGATGGCCTTGATAACTTTCCAATACCGACGAAACTAATTAATGTGACCTTTCCGACAAAAGTACGGCGCTACGCAACACATTCATTTGTACAGGACACTAATGGTAGCGCGTAATTGCTGTTATAATGGCATAGCACCTTCCTTTCCACTCCCCCCCCCCTTAACCTTCAGCTGTAATCCTCTTCTAGAACTTTGCAACGAAAATTGAAGATGCTAGGTTATATTCATGACCACCCTAAAAGAGGTACTACTTTTCAGGCTGCTTTCCTGACGCATACTTTTTTTTATTGCTAGTGGGGTGGGACTAAGTCCTTTGTACTGCGGCCACTTCTGGCCTAGTGTACCAGCCCCAGGTGATAGGTGAGGGTGATTGTGGAGTAATTGGTGGAATGAAGATTGGCAGAGGAAACCGAAGTACTCGGAGAAAGCCTGCCCAGCGTCACTTTGTCTACCACAAATCCCACTTGACGAGACCCGGGCTCCAACCCGGGCCGCCGCGATGGGAAGTCAGCGACTAACCGCTTCAGCTATGGCGCGGCGAATAACGCAGACTTACGCTGTGTGTGTGTGTCCCTCCCTGTCATCTATTGATTGCCCTTATGAAACTCCATATGTATATCAAAGCAACTGAGCCCCATCTCAACGGCGTACTTCATAAATCCTTTCCATCAGCCTGTGTGTCTATACGTCTATCCCTACTTTCGTTACTGATCAACGGCTCGGTATATACATACAGCTATATAAGCATTGCTGGACGC